AGGATAGTTGGGGCTTTGAAATGAGCCATATGAATCCCAGAGCAAGCCACCACAGGAGAAAACACCTACAAAATGGACCAAAACATGGAACAAGCAGAGAGCCGCTAACATTCACATAACCACAAGGCTTTGGAGAACAGCAGGAGCCCGCGCAAAGAGGCTCTGCCATGCTCCCACACACACTTTCCCTCCCGGGCGCGTGGCTCCTCCCCGCGTTGCTGCACCGCAAGGCCTTCCCCGTTCATCTCCACACACCCAGAGCTCAGGTTGCATTGGGCACGTGCAAGAAACTCCCATCGGCTGCGCCTCGCCTGCCAACGGGGTCGGGGGCAGGAACGCGAGCTGGTCACACCACTAAGCACCTCCTGCACTTACCTGAGGTCGGTGGCATCGAGGCAGTTGAGCTGAGGCTACCTGGCAATGCAGAGAGAGAACACCAAGTGAACGAGGAGCCTCCTCCGTAAGAGGAGTGCCTTGCTGGGAGTCATACACCTTCTCCGAAGGGTCTCCAGGGTCACTAAACCCCAAAATGAGAGTTCATACTGCAACCTGGCTAGACGGAGCGCGGTGCATGCAATACTAGGCGCTTCAGCACTTGCTCACCTGGAACACCACTAGATTACTGCAGAGACTGCCTCCACATTTCTACCCCAGGTAAATCAATGCCTTTGCACCCCAAGGGCACCAAAAAGAAATCAGCATCATCACGAGCTTCAGTGAAATTACCCAGTGCCTTTAACTGAAACACAGATCTTTAGGTCCTTCACTGCTACAGAGAGAGAGTCTGGCAGAGACCCACCTCTGGAAATATCATGCATCTGAACAGAAACGTCTAGTTACCTGTTGGCGGAGGCGCTGTTAGTCCAGAGTCTGGAAGGAGAGAACCACAGGGCATTAGGCACCTTGGTGCCACAGCTTGCTCCCCAGCACTCCAGTGCCAAGCCCACCACACTACGCCCAGGAGCACGGGGTTGGGAAAGGGCTGGGCAAACCGAGGCGCGCTCTGCATTTGGGGCACACGCGCTCCCTGTGACCCTCCCCGAGAGCCACGGGGGAGCCCATGGCAGGGCAGCCTGCGCCAGGCCCAGCCCTGCTCAGCAGACCCTGCTACACTTGCTCGGGAGAGAAGGGGCCTGGGAGACACCTCGCGAGAGCCATGAAAGTAGCTACGCTACTCACTTCTGCAGCGTAAGGCCCTTGCTTTAGGGACACAGGCCTTGGACAAGCTGCTGCTGTGCAGGAAGGGAAGCAAGGGCTTGCAGACTCGCGTCTAGCTTGACTGGCGTTTTATTCAAGGAAGACACCACCACTAGGTGCAAACCTACCTGAGCATATGACAGAAGCATCTCGGTCATAACACGAAGAGGAGTGCTCATAGGGACAAGCCCACAAGTAGTCTTCAGAGCCCTGGCAACGCATTGCGGTCATCACGTACAAAGACCAGCCATTCGAAGGGAAATATCCTGTCACACCAAGAGGCTGGCCACAGCCAAGCTGCTTGCACACAACTTGGGCATCTCGCATGTCCCACAGGTGACCGCACACTTTCATCCAGGCTCCAAAATAGAAGATTTCAACATTGCCAGCACAGCTGTTGGGCCCATCTGTCAGTCGCAGCAACAGCTCTTGGAAAGACATAAGACACTCTGTTAGGCAAGGGGCAGTCTGCTTGCACGCGGTGACATTCGCTCCCTGCTGTGCAAGAAAGCAGGCAAGCCAAAGAGGTGCTTGGAAGAGTGCTTTGGATAAGCCCTGGGTTGTGTGCACCCCAGGAGACCTCCGGGGAGCCAGGACCTCCCCAGCAAGGGGGCCTGTG